ATTTTTTTGATGCCTAAATCCTTTTGGATGACAAACTTAAATCCAACTAAATTAACTTTTGGTTTTTTATAAGATAGTATGGAGGATTGTTTATTACTAAGTTGGATTGGGATTTTCTTATGCAATAAGTAGTGCATTGGTTTTTATTTTGACATTAGCAACAATTTCGTTAAAAATTAAATCTGAAGAAAGAATCTTACTAGTATGTCTCCAACAATTCTTTGCTTTTTATATGAATAGTTTGATGTCTATCACATTTACATTATTAAAAATTAATTGTATTATGTAATAATATTTGAAAAAAATGGTTTAAACTTAATCTAACCATGATGGAATTTCAAACTTAAACTAAGTTTGAATAAGTTTAATTGATGTCCATCATTATTGTGTCAATTTTGAATATTATTTATTTAACTTTAGTCTTGCATTTGAGTGCATGTTTATTGTTTTTAATATGAGCTTTTTTGTTTTGTTACAATTAATAAACAAATTTTGCTATTGTTTTTTTTTCTTTTTAATACATGAAATGTCTAGATGTTAATTGCTTTGACTTATAAAAAACTAATTAAGAGTTAAGTCAGTGGACACATGAGTTTTGTTGCTTTTGTTGATAGGCTTAAAAGATTAAATATAGTTAGATCAAATAGGATAAGATAGAAGAGGATTTAATCATGTGCACAACATTGTTTTAAGGAAAGCTAATTAATAGCATATTTTTTACATCTATTTAATTGTGTTGTTGGTGATCAAGTATTTTAGTTTTTTTTTTCTACTAAGGTTGTGTTCTTTTTGTTAACATTGGTAACAATAAAAAAAAAGTAGCATCAAAGGAAAAACTTAGATAACTTAAAAGGTAAAAATTAACATATTCACTCTTCCTACAACTATCATTGAACTACTTGACAAAGAAACACTCTTGAAATCAGATTAACATAGAGAGGTATTAAAAATAACATGCTTGACTACAAGCTATTCATTTAACTTTGAAAAAACAAAAGAAAGGGAAACTACAGTAATTGCAATTCTTGGAACATAACAAGTAGCCAAAACATCAAACCAGCCATCACAGTAACAAAAAAATGTCAAATCACCACTCAAAATACTTTCACCCATTTACCATCCAAACCAACCTAACACTATAGAGCAACCACAAACCCTAAGCTCACCATCAATAGCTCCAATTCCACAAGACATAGTCTTTAAAGAATCTTTTACAAATAACCAAGGTACAGGTTAGGAAACTTTTGTCTCTTTATGCTTTTAACACAAAATATGAAATTTTTCGTAGCATAACTTTTGATTGCTTTATCCAGGGAAGAAAAATGCAAAGCTGAACATATGCCACTACAACTCTATAAGTTGCTAATTTTTTATTACACTTATCATGAAACAGTGAAGACCAATTATTCTTTTGTGTTACTTGGTGTTTAAAAATGGTGGACATTTCTTGTTGTGTTCAGATTTTAGGTTTTTCTCTGTTGTGTTGCAAGTATAACTATATTTTTGTTGTCACTTGCTAATGGAAAGCTAATATAGATTTTAGGTTTTACTCTCTGTTGAGTTGCAAGTAGTGTTATCTTTTTGTGTTATAAATGTCACTTGCTATACATCAAGTCTTGACTTTTTTTTTAATCAAATAATGATGACAAAAAACTGTTCTTTCATAAGTTTGATATCTCATTATCATTGAGATCAACGAATGTAAACATTCAAACATAACTATCAAAGTAACTATAATATTAAAACCTTTATGGGATAAAGGGTTGAAAATATCATAATTATCAGAACCGAATTGAACTGTTGATCCGATCGATTGAACCGATAAATTGATGTTGAAACTGATCCGGTTCTGTAATTAGATTAATTTTATAATAAAATCATTTTAAACCATTGTGAACCGATAATTTATATAATAAACCAGTAAACCAGATAGTTTTTTTTTAATCGGATTTGTTTAATATCAACTAATAAATTTAGGTAAAATATGAAAAAAGCCCTTCAAGTATTAAAAATAATATAATTAAGCATTTACATTACTATTTCATCTAAACATGCCCTTCAATTCTTATTATCAAAGCCTTTGTATCTTTATATTAATGATATGTTGGCATATTTTGAGATATATGGATAATGACATTGTAAAAAAACTTACACATATGTAAAAATAAGCAATTCTTAAAAAAAGATGATCTAATAAAAAATATTATTCATTGATACCATAATTAAAAATAATTATAAAAATAATAAAATATAAAGTTAATAAAAAATAAATTGTTAATAAAAATGATTAATTATTTGACCATGATAGAAAATAATTAATAAGAAAATGTATATATGTAAAATTAATAAAAAAATCTACATTCACATAAAAATATAAAAATAATTCTAATTTCCTTTTTACTAATTTTCATAAATATAAATATTTTCTTTTTATTAATTTAGTATATAGATATTTCTTTTTTATTATATAAAGATTAATTATTATATATTAATAAATAATATTTATATTTTAAAAAATATAAATAAATATCAATAATAATTATTATAAATATTTATTAGTTATTATTTATTATATATTAGTAAAATATAAATATTATTTTTAACTATTAAAATATAAAATATAATTTTAATAAAATGTTAAATAATTTCATTTCTAACTAGTAATTAATTGTTCTATGAATTTTATATTTTAAAATTTGTAGTTTATGATATATTTTAAAATTTATAGTTTTATGGTTGAATTATTAAATTATAACTTGAGTTAAAAGATTGAATTTTGAATTTTTAAAATATTTATATTTTTTATAATATTTTTTATTAAATCGATAATTGACCCGATTAATTTGGTGGTTAAATCATTAATTCTATGACCCAAAACCTTAAACAGTTTAATATTTGGTCTGGCTATGATAATTATAAAAATTATAATTGTGTTTCACAGTTATTTCAAATTCTTTAAACAAGATTCCATTTATATTTGGGCTTTTCAATGAATAAATTAGCTATTTACATTTCAATGTGGGTATTCAACTAATGTAAATAGAATTGCCATTTTGTTTTTCTTTCACCATGCATGGAACCACAAAATGAAAATATTCCTAATTATATACTTTCAGCTTGGCGTCTTCAAAATTATTTTATATAATCATGAATTGTTCTTATAACCATTAATTAATGTAATTTATTTTTACAATTATCAAAATATTCGTGACCCTACCAAACTTCTTTTGTAAATATTTAATTATCTCTAACTTAACATACATTTGAAATTTCAAATTCTACTAAAAAATGGTTAGACAAAATTTATTTCATTTTAAATACGACAAATACAAAAAATAACATTCTAAAAGTTCAAGATGACTTTAATAATTGCAGTTCTAGGATTTTAAGTCATCTATTGAAGTTTTCATAATAGCTGTAACCAATATGTTTAGTAAACCCAGTCCAAATGTCACGGACCTAAGGAAGAGTCCTGAATCTCACATCGAACATAATAGGAGGGTCACTGGGATATAAAAGGGTTCACACCACCTCTTTCTTGTGAGGCACCTTTTGTAGGATAAAACTGTGAGGTTAGGGGGTTAGAGTGGACAATACCTCACAAAGGTGTGAATCGTGGGAGTCAGGCTAATCTGGGACGCCGAAAAGGTAAATGCCCAAGTCCTGAAGCCACGCGGGTTCAGAGCTTAAGTCTGGACCCGTGACAAGTGGTATCAGAGCCAGTCTTAAATCGTTCGATCCACGCCAAGCGCCTCTAGGGAGGTAGGCAGGGTGGCCAGCCTCAATGACAAGGGCGTCATGAGGTTGGGTGGGGGAGAATGTCATGGATCTAAAGAAGAGTCCTGAATCCCACATCGAATATAATAGGAGGGTCACTGGGGTATAAAAAGGTTCACACTACCTCTTCCTTGTGAAGCGCCTTTTGTAGGACAAAACCGTGAAACCAGGGGGCCAAAGCAGACAATACTTCACAAATGTGTGAACCGTGACAATCAAGCTAATTTGAGACGTTGGAAAGGTAAATACCCGGGTCTCATAATCACGCGGGTTTGAAACTTAAATCTCGACCCGTGACATAAGCATATGCCTAACAAACACTAATCATGAGCTATCTTGGTAATTAGTTAAAATATTAGAATAAAAAACTACTTAAGAAAACTCTTTATTGTAAAAGATGATAATATGAACAATTAATATATTTTCATATTATCAATTTAAAAATGTATATTAAGCTATTTAATATAAATTAAACTTTTCAAATGCTTTGTATTATATAATTTATAAATGATTAATTTGTAAATATTTAATTATCATAATCAAAAAAATATGAATACATTAAAGATGTACAAAAAACTATTTAATAAAATATAATTACATTCAATAAATTATATTATTCTTTAAATTTTATTTTGAGCTTAATTCTATAAAAAAATTATAAATATGAAAAAAAAAAGCCTCGGCAAAGTGAGGGCCAAATATAGTATAAATAGCAATGCAAACAGTTTTTTTTTTTTTTTTTTGAAAAAACAAATACAAAAACTTAGGTAAGGTTCTTGGCTTAAGTTTTCAAGGTTTTTTATTAAAATTAAGTAAATAAAATATAATTTTAAAAATAAAAACTTATAGGCAAATTTTTAATATGTTTTGATAATATTTTACATATATTTTTTTAGGAAAAACTATAACAGTATTTTTCATCGTTATTAAATTTGAGATAGATAATATTTTTAATAAATTTTTCACAAGATCTTCTAATTAAAGAAATAATAATATTTTAAAAAATATGCTATTGATCCCTCATTAAATTTAATTAATTTATATTTTTTAATTTTTTAAAATTAATTTTATTTTATGTTTTTAATAACAAACCTTACAAATTTCCCCTAAAAAATCTTCTTTTTAAGTCTAATCATATAAATAATAATAAAAACCCTAGAGTCATACAAATAATAAAAAAAGCCCTAGACTTGCAAGCCGAAATCACAGATCCCAGAGTAAAAATGGAGAAGAAGAAGAAGCAGCAGGAGCAGAAGAGAATGGAAGCAAAGAAGAAACAAAAGAGAACACTGGAAGGAGTACCAGAAGAGCTAATCATGGCCATAATCACTAGACTTCCACCAAACTCTCTTGTTCGTTTTAAGTGCGTTTCAAAACCTTGGAACACTTTAATTTCAAGCCCTAGTTTCATCAAGTTGCACCTCAACCAAGCTATATCTTCCATTCGTAGCCAGCGACTTATGGTCTCATCATCTTTAAATTCTATTCAATCAATCGATTATGAAGCATCCGAGGTAAGTGCCATTAATCAGATAGATATTATTGCAGTAGCAAACTCAGATCGTTTCAAGATTGTAGGCTCATGTAATGGCTTGATATGTGTAGCTGATGAGGAAAATTCATACCATTCTTTTATTCTCTGGAATCCATGCATTAGAGAATTCAAGAAACTACCCCTCCGTTTTCCTTTGGCTGAAAATTTAAAGGTTTCAATCGGATTCGGCTATGATCAATCCGCTAATGATTACAAGGTTGTACGGTGTACTTTCGATGAAACTTTGGGAAGTCATCTGGTTTTTGAGATCCATTCAATGAAAAGCAATACTCAGAAAGTTATCCGTCGATATTTTTCTGATCCTCGAATAACCTTTTCCGATCACAATTCAAAGAAAGTGGTTTTTGTTGATGGAGTCCTATATTTGAAAGCAAATTCTTGTAGTTTTCGACGCGATAACTTGGAATACGATGATGCTGTTTTGGGGTTGGATCTAAAAGATGAGAAATTGGAGATTGTGCAACTACCAGATGATCATGTAAACTTTGATGAGGACCCTGAACTTGAGTTGGGGATATTTAGAGGATGCCTTGGAGCGATTCAATGTTATTTTGGGACTATGATTCACATATGGGCATTGAAGAATGATGGCATGAAACAAAGTTGGATAAAGCTCATGCGTATTATGGAACTGCAATCTGTGCCAGATTCGAAAGATTTGATACCTGTATGCTTTATGAGGAATGGTGAAGTCCTGATGACTTGTACCAAAAAGGAGGAATCAGCATCAAAATCTGTATTTAGAAAACTTAAAGTTCATGGTTTAAGGCCTTGGTTCCATGAAATAACATACACTCAGACTCTGGTCTCACCTAAATTGCTATGAAGGAACTGACAGGTAAAAACATTACCTATTATCAACGTTAATACTTTAATATTAATTTGATTATATATGGGTTATATAGAGTACTTCATGTTAAATCAGTGAAACATAGCCGTAGTTTTCTCTTATTAATGTTCATTGAGATATTTAAAACCGGCAATTTGCGTACTTGATTGTCTATTTTATGTCTAATATATTTAAAATATGAAAATTGTTATGTTATAATTTGTATTGAAACGTTAATTACAAAACACATTTTTTTATTTTTATCAAATTGAAATATTGCTTTTATTAAAATTTTAAATTGTGTCACTTTTATATATTTTTATATCGTATTTAAAAATTACCAGGACTAGAGATATTGCATGACTACAGGATGAGGATAAAATTATATGCTGGAATATCAAGAAAATCAGTTTACTGGTCTGAGACCTTGAAGAAGAGCTCTTGCAAGATATTCTAGTGCATGCAGAAGCTTCCTGGGTTTTCATCCCTTCATGATCTAATTGACCTGTTTTCAGATTAGTTTTCTAGCAAACAGGGAGCGCCCTTTCATTTTCTTGTTGTAAGGTTACATTATATTGTCTTTGCATGATACATTAGTTTTAGTCACAGAAACCTCTTAAGAATTTGAAGATCTTTTTTATTTTTATTGCATGCACTCTTTTTCACCTTTTACTACTTTACTGGTATAAAATTCGTTGATATATAGTTCATAAACTTTTACAAACATATCATTTTCATTTTTTTTCCAAGCCAAAATTTTATTCATGAAATGTGAGAAAGCATTCACAATATAGCATCCATCTGCTATTACAGTACCATCCAAAATCACCCATTCAATACAATACCTGAAGCTTGGTTTATAGGAGTACCAAATATACCAAGAGTATCCACCCACATCCTACCGTATCTAAATCTATGTTGACGTGTCATTTTCATCTATGATCTAAAAGAATTATGTTTATCTTTTGTGGCATTTTAAAAAAAATCTCATCGTTTCGTTAGTTAATGGTCAAATATATGGTAGATGAAAATGAAAATGTTCACAGGCGCACATGTCAATTAATGTGGCTTGATGCAGATTTCATGTGGACCTTCTTTTCCTATATGTATAAGATTGAAGCACCTTGCATACGACAGTATGCTCGTATGCACGTGACATTCTCTCTGCCAGTTTAGTGACGATCTCATCACGATTAACCACCTAATCTACTTCGAACGTTTGACGTGGTGTCATGGTCCACCCTACCACCTACCCTCTGGACACTTGGCATCTCTTACCTAACCTCGTCACATCCTCGTCAAGAGTGACCCATCATATCTACTCTCATTTGGAAGCGTTTTTCATCGCGGCTTGTGACGTCTTTATCACAATTGACCCACCATATCTACTTTCATTTGGAATGTTTGGCTTATTGTTATATGGTACACCCTGTCTATCTCTTGGACGCTTGGCATGAATTGGCTCACCTTGTCTATCCTTTTTTGGGGTGCTTGGCTTAGAACCGACTGGCTTACCCCATCTACTGTTTGAAAAATAATGTAATACAAGGTTAGAAGACACAACTTGTAGATACTTGAATGTCTTGGCAACTTTTGTAAACTTGTAGATGGTTGGAGTTGAGCAATTATAGAACTTCAATCATGATCGAAATAGTTTTAAGATGTGCTATAAATGTCATTTTTTTTTAAAGATTATTTTACCTAAATTAGTTATAATATGCAAAAGAGTTAATCGAAACTCCTTCAAAACATAATAAAACTTTGTTTATTTATATTTTGCACTAGTATAAAAAACCACTAAATACACCATAATAGGAATGAAAATATCTTATCTGTGCAAGGTTTTATACAACAAATAATGCTTAAGTATAACTTGCCTTTTTGTGAAAAACAAATAGGAGAAAGAAGAGAGATAATTCAGAATTGAATTGTATGTTCCAATGAATTCCTATAAATATTTATTTATATAGAATAAATCCTAAAGTTGTGACTTTTTAATTTTGTTGATTCAATCAAAGATCATTTTTTTAGTTATAAATATGTTTCTTCAAAATATTACAAATATATTTATTCATTTGAATAATCAAACTAATTAAACAAAGAGAGATCATTTTTCACGTTTTTTGAAATTATAATCTTTCACATTGAAAAGTAGACTGCTCAAAGTAGGCAGGAGACTGCCCCTTTGAAAATACAGAAAATGCTTTTAGGGTTAAAGCAGTTGACTCATTTCGCATGTTCGAATGCATCGTATGCATAAGCAGTCGACTCCTCTTAATTTCTTGAGGAAGTTCCACATTCGGCCTTTTTTAACCAAATGATTGCTATTTAAGAGAAGTCAGCTGCCATTGTCTTTGATCAACTTCCAGAAGACTTTTATATATTGGCAGTTGATTCCTGGAATCGGTTCAACTCATTTTCAACCAAACCAATTGATTGTTCTATGAAGGCAGTTGGTTGCTATCTTACACAAAAACTTTTGTTTACTTTCTGTTTGTCAAAGTACGTAGTCGACTGCTCTTCCTGTAATCTTAAGGCAGTCGACTCTTCCAAGCATGGAAGTTAGCTACTTTCATGTAAAGCATTCTTAATATAATTCTTTTAAATCTTTAAAATTATATATTGGAACCATTACTAAGTTAAGTAATTTAATATGATTTCTCTTGTGATTTGAGTCCATTTACTTAATTAATATTTTCATTATATTGAAATATTTTTAACATCTACCATATTAGAATGTTTAGTATGAAGTTGTTTGAGTCAAGAATTAATTTTAATATCACTTGTCATGTGATTATTATTTTTTTAAATAAAATTAGTTTATTAGTGTGTGCAATATCAATGTTTATATGTCCAACAATAATTTTTTTTATTCGATATGAGATTGAAATATTTTACCTTTTCTTTTGAAACTCATGATGTGATATAGATGTGACATAATCCTAATATACGTGATAAGTGTTGATTTAAAAATCATAATCAACAAATCTAAAACATGTTGCTCACATGAGGTGGATTGATTTTTGGGTGCGATTTTTCTATCTACATTTATTATACATGTTAGTGAATCAAATCGCACATTTGTGATGGTACTTGTATGGATGTTTTTGTTAATTTTTATTCAAATAAAAGGTGAAAATTTTAAAAATTAATGGATGATAAATTTAAAATTTTTAAATTATAAAATGATAAATAATACATGTATAAAAGATCGTGAAGTAATGGTAAATTTTTACTCTTTACCTTTGCATTTGTCCTAAACCTAGGAGTATACCTAGGAGTATGATGCTCTTGCCAATTTATTTTCTAAAGCTTCTCTATAGTATTAGAGATATAATCAGCAATGAAGGTGGGATATATGTTGGCAGGTTTATGCAGATTCTAACAGCCAGTGTTCCAACAATGGTGATAGAAGGGTGGGGGAGTGGGAATCTTGATTCATGATATTGAAAAACATGATGATAATCATATGTTCATTTCGTACAGTTCTCGATTTGCATTTCCATCTAATGAAAGTGGGTCCACATGATGTTTAGTATTCTAATGGTTTTGCTACAGTTTCAGCATTTTACTTTTTCTCCCACTTTGACTCTTTTTGAGCATTTTGATTTCTACCCTCGGCTAAATTTACCCTTTGATGTGGTATTAAGGGTGTAATGTCGAATCCATATATTGTAAAGCTCAAAATTAATTTGAAAATTTGAAACTCGAAGTTTGATTTAAATTTGATTCAATTAGATGGGATAAAATTATTAATATTGATATTAAATATTATAATTTTATCATTTATTATTTTATTTCATTTATTTATATATATTACTAAAAAGTTTAATATTTGAATTTGGGTTGATTTGTTACTCTGCAGATCTACGATTGCCAATAAACATGTGGTTATCAAACACAGAAAAGATCTGATTCATCAAAAGAGAATTCATAGATGCATAGCTGTTTGTTTACACTTCTTATGTATACGCCAGAAACATACAAGAATAATATTTAAATATTGAATTGAATTTGTTTGTGCTAGGTTGGTTTCTAATAAGAGATCCTTGTGCTAGCTCTAGCTCATTGCTGCTCATAATGCCAGTTGAGATCTCTAGATTAACCAATGTGAAGCCAAAAAATTTGCAAAAAAGCAGACAACTAAATGATTGAAATCATTGGTTGTTGTTCCACAAAGCTAGAAAGAAGGCTCCGACTTCTAACAAAAACGCCTCTTCCCGTCATTGGGTCATGCATCTGGGTTTAAAAGATCCATATTGGGTGCAAAATAAATGATAGAACAAGTAAGATCATGACAGACATTGAGCTTGTGGCGACCATACAATCCAATGAAGCCTTTGAGTCATTTGTTGTGGGTATTGGAGGGGTCAGTCCAGGGTTATTTACACCAGCACTGCCACCGCCATTGATTGGTGTAGTTGTCGGCACATTCGGGTTGTTTATCACTGTTGTTGGTGTTGTTGGTGTAGCTATCCCTCCAGCTGTGCTGGAAATTTCATAACTCAAGCTGTTAAATCGAACAACTAGCAGAGACAACAACTACAAATAACAATAGGGCAACACATAAATTGTTCTAACATTCGTAAGAATCATCAGATAAATCCAGTCAAACTAACATTAAACCAACTTAATTGGTATTTACCGAAAATCAGAAACCATTGAAAGACCAATTTAGAGTTTAGACAAGTGAGCTTTGCCTAGCATGATGGATTACCCCAAGCAAAGTTACAGTAAACAACAAAAAGGACTAGTTCAACCAGAATTATAATGGATCAGGATGCTTAGGAACTATATAAATCTGGTAATTTTGAACACCATATAGTGATATAATATCAAAATGATACCCAAAAAAAAAAAAAATGAAAGCGACATGTTTTAAAATTTTAGCAAAAATTATATATAAATTTAGCAGAAACAAAAAATATGTTTTGTATTTGACGTGTCCAACAAATTATGACATAATAATTTTTATGTTTTGTATGTGTTTGACATGAAATAAACAAACACAAATACTATTAGCTTCGGTTAGTCTAAGAACTTCAGTAGTCAAAACTAAAAGCAACTAATGGACCTAAGATGGGAGTAGGAACATGCTTGGGGGAAAAAGAATTGTAGAATGTTTCTGCTTTATTTAACCGACCATAAAGAGGGGGAATAAATAGAAAAACTAGTCCAAAAGTAGATACCTTGGAGTGACCACCAATAGCATCTTAAGAAAAGTTTTCCAAATTCCCCATTTTCCATTGGTATATCCTTCCAAATTTCCCATAAATAATGAAAACATGCTTCAAAAATGAAGCAACTGCTAGAAATACGAGAATTGAAACATAAAATCCCATGGGCAATCCACTTTGTTTGATTTGATTATTAGAATACTTAATATATATTATTTCCACACATCAAAATTACCATCAACTTCTTTGTAAAGCTATTCTATTTCAAGCCATTAGTGGACATGCTTTAAGCCAAGTGGCACAGGCAAATGTTACAGTATGGCATCTGGATTCCTGATGCCACGCTTTACCATATTCCCATCTGCCTTAAAGTCCCTTGGCTAGCAGCCTTATATCAAAGAGCACCTAACATTTACTTGATTATTATTCCTAAACCACACAGAGATAACTTAGATTTGTGAGGAAAAGTTTATGAACCTAAGCTTGGCCTCATTGATGGCCCAATCATCCAGAGAGCAAATGCAGTCACCTTAAACCAAGTATCTAACCATAGGACTATGAGTTAAAGTAATAAATGATGAAGTACTCAAATTGGATAATTAGCCAAGTATGGCCATCTTAGATGAGTCACGGAAGAATCCTCTCCGCTACTAAAAATTAGAGAAAATCTTCACTACTTTTATAATTTGTGTCGATTCGTGGTAAAAGTAGTGGAAATCTCCCTTTACTTTTTAATAATAGAAAGGATCTTCCCCTCTAGTCATTTAAGCTGACAAGTTAATAAAAGCTTCCCTTGCTAGCTTAAGTTGAAGAAAAAGTAAATACTGGAACATGAAACAAAAACTATTTATGCAAACATTTTTCTAACTCTGAGGTAAATTATGTTCAGGAGACAAACTTTTACTGTCTAGAGCTGTAGTAAGTATATCAAATAGAACACAGCGTAAAATCATTATATTGCATTACTTTAGTTGCTTTTTCAAAACAAAGACCAAATAAAGTGCTGTTATTTTTATCTATTCTTGTACCATTCATTTACTTTTGATAAAGTGAAAAGATATCCATGTTGAACTATGTTATGGACGAATCATTTTGTCTAAGTACAGCATGACAGTTTTATTAGAAAAAGAAAACACTATAGTGTTAGTATTTTTCTTTTAACCTTTTTCCCTCCTGTTAGCCATTCCAACCTAACTTAGACATGACAATTCATGTTTGGTGTCTGTTTAACATTTCATGTCTAATATGTGTAGAAATTTACTGTGTTACAATTCGTGTCAAGGCGAGAAACACAAAACACATTTTCCAATTTTGTCAAACCCATATATGCTTTTTGTTAAAATTTTAAATTATATCGCTTTTGTTTTATATTGTGTTTCATGTCATGTTTACAATTACCATGTATATCCCAACCATAAAAAATTATAAATCCTATAAGATTAATGTCATGTGTTCTAAAATGCCTATTTTCTTCATTGAAGTGTGATGCACTTTCAAAAGTTAAAAACATTAGTTTCATTTTTTTTAATATATATTGCTAGAGCTCCAAGAAAGTTGTTAAGGACTGTTGTCTACTGACTATTGCAATCCTAACCATCTGAGCAATACATGACTAAATGTTAGTACAGTACTGCAAGGATAGATAAGATTAATTAGTCTTTAACATTTACTTGGAATTTTATAACAATTATTACTGTTTTTACTTAAAAAAGAATATTGCAACCTAAAGCTCAAAGATGCAACCAATAACTTGTCCAATCTCAACCTTCCATGCAATACATGCATTAATAACGGCAGTGTATAGTATGTGCATATTACATGGATATCTGAGATTGAACAATCTAAATATCATTAAGATCCATTTGGTACAATAAGACAGTATGGTGGGGGAGAGTTTCTCACTACATTGCATTTCTAATTTTTCACTAGATCTAATGAAATTCAAATCTAATGAAAAATTAAACATGCAATGAAATGAAGAAAATCCCTCCTAACTGTGCCTCCCCATTTGGCTAATAGACTCTTATGGGTTCAAAATGTGCATTAACATTTTCTTTAAAAAAAAAAAAAATTATTTGCATACTCGACTAGCCTGTCTCAAGCATCTAGGCTAACATGCACAAGTCAAATAAATCAAAATTATAGAGAAAAACTAGGGAAAAGGTTCCAACTTGTGCATGCAAACCTGATGATATGTTTGAGGTAAGCGGACAAACCAGGTGTGCAAATCATGGGATTCTTTTCTTTATCCTAGTTTGAGTATAGGTAAAAAGTGGGTTTTAGCTTAGTGGACAAAAACAATTTAAATCATGTGTCTCTGAAATAAAACCCAAAGAAATCTCAGTGTTGCAGATATCTCCTTATAGCCTTCTTGTCCATTCTATAACTTCTATCTAGATATCATGTGCTTGAATCGAAAAGTGATTTATACCAAGCAAACTTTGATAGAATTTTATGTGTGTGTGTGTGTGTGTGTGATTATATACTGTGCTAAATTTCAAGACATAAAAGCATTAATGGAAAAAGACAATATGTTGGAGCTTAACTTACACTACTTTACTTTTCTTTTGTCTTTCATGTCTGTCTAAAAAAAATTACCAATTCATTTCAGCTAACAATAGATAAAATTTTATTGGAAGTTAAATTATGTCAAGATTTTGTCGTTATTGGTAACAAATTTTTTTAATTTGATCCTATGTATCTATAGTTTCATAACAAATTTAGTCCAATGATTTTGTCATAGAAATGAATGTTTATTTCTTTTTAATTTAATATATTTAAACTAATCACATTAAATATTAAATGAAATTTCTGATTCCGGCTCTATCACCAGCAACTCTGGTTTTCCAGACCTAGAGTTTCTCGATCATTGGATGTCCTTGGACAAGAAATTACATCCAACGGTTAAAAAGCATGAGCGGGCAAAATATGACAATAGTAAAACAGTACAAGCAAAGTGAGAAACCCAAGGCATTGAAAAAAGAGACCGAGAAACATGAGCCTAGTAATGCAAAACTGACATGCACAATCAGGAAAAAATGGACGGTTAGAGATCAAGATGCCATGCATACAGACACGTGTCGTACATCTAATAAATTACAGCATTACTAGAGACTCCCTTTCCTTCAAATATCACAGGCATTGCTTATACAAAGATTGAACTCTTAAGAAAAGAAAATCAAAAGAATGCGTGAAGCTGAAGAAAATAGACCAAAATCTTTCTAAAACTACCTTGTAAAAAAAAAAAACAGGAAAAAAGAAAAGTTGGCAATGTACTACTGAAAATGGTGGAAACCCAGGTTAATTTTGCACATAACAAGTAAAACAAACCAGTTTTTTTAATAATGTAAGAGAATAAAACATGCATACCTTTGAGAAGATGGGTACACACAAGATCCATAACCTACAAAACAAAACCAGAAAAACATGAATAAGCAAAAAACCAGTTGTAAAAACCAACCAAAAAACGAAAAATGAGAGTTGAAGGGAAAGAAAACAAACTGGGATCAGTTTTAGCAACAGTGGCAGTGCCAGCGAAGTCACAGGAACCAGGTGCCATGGCCCTACGTTGGTAGTAGCTATTGAAAGCATAAGCAGCATGAGCCTGGATTGTGTTGGGAAGAAAACAAAGCCCACTTGACTGAAGAGGGCTGCAGTCAGCACCAGTGCCGCATGCATAGTCGAGAGCAGTTTGCAGGGCTTGGTTAGATGCATCACTCCTGACCACACACCAGCTTGTTCCTTGAACAACCAGGAAGCTGTTTACTAGCAAGGAGAGCAAGAACAATACCAGCTTTAAGACTGGTACTGCCATGGAGAAGAGTTAAGTTGGTAAAGCAGGAGAAGGAAGAGTAAAGAGAGGGGTGGGGAAGAGCACTTCTGTTCTTTTATTTTCTTTTCTACTTTTCTTTTTTATACGATGGTGTATGAGGGATTTTGATGGGTTGATTATTGGCCTTGCTGGCTAAAAAGGAAAAGAGAAACGAAAGATATAAAATATTGTATTATTCCTGTTTTGGATCTTACTTTTAATCAATGGATTAACAAAATGACCCGTTTCTTTTTAAAGTGTTATTGGATTCTTAGTTGTCCTTGGTAGATTATAATTTAGAGCTCCGAATTCCTTTGGAACTGGATTCTCTTTCACAGTGAATCTTCTGCAGGAGAAATCAGCGGATCTTTTGAACACAGTGGAGAGGATTTGTCCATTCAAAAAACTGAGGTTGGTGTCACCGTCCAACGATACTCCAAAACTTTAGCCCCAGCTTCATCATAAATAGGGGACCAAACCCTTCACAGAATGTGAATAAGATGGATGACTTAAAATATTCATACAGAAAACAATCAATAATGTAATAATTTGACAAGTAAATTCCTACAAAAAATTCGTTCAGTGCTTGATTTCGAGCCGCTCTTCAAATCCACAAAACCAAAAACCCGACCTTCCCAGTCTCAGTTTCCAGTATGTAGCCACCTCCTCAATCCTGCGTTCTCTGTCCATGTTTTCTTCCAATCACCAGGGGTAGTTGCCAATTCCAACTACCGAGTTATTCTGCTGCTGAGGGGCAACCCCACTTTTAGGATAGATGTCCGCCTTTTTGTACTGACAGTTGAGGATCACGTCTTGTTTGTCTCATGAGTCTCCTCTCCCGATTCCAAGCTTTTCCCAGCAAATCCTACTCACACTCGTAATGGCTAATGGACAAGGATGGTAAAGCTACTTCCACGTGATGAGGATATAATTTCATGGTATAAATCATAGAACTTATTACATGTCAAAATTGGGTATCATTATACGGTAATTGTTGTTGTATATCACCTCTTCCTTTCATGTATTTCTGTCTCTCTCGTCTGCAGGTTCAATACTAACTTTACTCTACGGTGTCATTAAGAAACAGAACCAGTTCGGAATAAAACCCTTCTCTTAAATTGTTTCATAGAATAAGATGTATGCTTTACAGCGAAGAACTTCTTCAAGTGACACTTGACGCACGTAATGATCACTGACATAATACTATGGAGAACTGTCATGTCTAGTCTCTGCCTTCCTTTTCCTCTTCACACCTCCTCTCACATATGCAATGTAGCGTCCCCTCCTCATTGTTCCCGAATGCTCCAAAATCCCCATCAGATGGTAAATACTATTATCTGTCTTCGCACCTGCAATTTTTTAACATGTTTGTAAATCATATAAAGCAATGTTCTTGTTTTGCTTGTTATTCATAATGTATTTTATTAGCATAGCCTCATAGTTGGACTAACAGATTTAATAGACAATATGTGTTTATATCAATTCACTCTGCTATCAAAATTGACAGAACTTAAAGAACTAATCAGAACTATATTTCAATATTCGCACGAGACATTCTGGTCTGCATTCAAAATACAACCAAATAATCCTTGCTATGAACAACATTAAGAGTTCAACTATTTCATGGCATACAAAAGACGTCCGGCTGCTTTATCCAAGAATACACCATTTCTTTCCCTTAAATCACTTCGCAGGAGGTCTAGCTGCTTTATGGAAAAGGCACTGAGAAGAACTGGATGCATAAGCAATCCAGTATAGTGTACTAGTTATATCAAGTAAACTCTCCAACAAAACTTGGTACGTCATGCACATAGAAAACGATCCCTGGATTCCCTATGGATATTACGGCTTCTGTATTGTCTGAGCTATTGCTCTAAAAACAACTGTTTTCCAAAGGATGCTTTGGCTTGCATCCAAAGAAGCCTATGCAACTGTTTTCCAAAGGATGCTTTGGCTTGCATCCAAAGAAGCCTATGCATATCTTCAACTAATTAACTTAGAAAGATAATATAATGAATTGTTGTTTTCGAACTAAAACATATTAAGATAAATATGCAGGGGTTAGCTAGGATAAGTCTCCTGATTTCCTCTTTGGAACTTCATCTAAAAACAAAATCTCTGGCCACTGTTTCAGATCACTAACTTTTATAAGAGTTTAGACCATCTCAGCTACTCACCCAATTTGCGGCTAAATCATTATTTCTCCCATCCATAAGACAGCTTACTAGTGCAATTACTACAGATAATGTTCAATAATAAAAGGATAGCTCTTCAAGGTGAAACATATTAGAATTAAAGTTTACTTTATCAGGAGCATCTCGAAAATTTGTCCAACTCAATTAAAAACCTATAATCCTCACTATAAATGTCCAATTGTCATTTAGTATGTTATATAATGATTATTAAGCAGAAACCTTGTAATATTACGGGGAATGCTTACAAGCTCAAGAGAGAGGCAGGCATCCATGGACCAATAGTTCTTACATCCCCAGCTAAGTTATGATACTGCTATGGGCTTGTGTTGGCATTCTTACAATCTCAACAAAATAAATGGAATGGATCAATAGCCAACCTTTCACTTTCAAAAGGAACATAAGTGCATAAAGTTACAGCTCCATACGATAAAACTCTAAAGACCAAAATAAGCTATGAGAGGAAAAGATATCAGTGTTTTCTAACAAAAGCTTATTTCTTTAATGAAATAAACCATCCCATTCAGGTAATAAGGTCAAAATAGGATATTGCTAGGTTTATCCTTTTCTTGGCAGAACTATCCTATTCTATTTTCTGAACTCACTCTTTTAACTTCCTGCATACAAAGCATTTTAAATAAAAGGACAAATGCAAAAAAATAATGACATCACACTACAGGGGAAGAGGTAATTTAAACAAGCCAAATATTGCATTTGTATTGAAGCAGAAATGTTTCTCGCCATCTTAAACATCAGATGGTTCATCATTCCTATAAAATAAACTCTGCTACAAAGGGGCAGTTTCATGTAATTTCCAGAAAATCATGTATTAACAAACACGAAATACATTGACCAAGAGTATAAGACTGAAGCAAATAAAAGTAAATACTACCAGCTATCTGCAAATCAAAACAGAATGAGGGAACCAAAAGAATAAAAGAGATCACTGAAATATAAGAATTTAGCTATTAGGGAAGTTGGGCAAAAAAAGCAAGCAAAAGAAAACAACTTGACAAGAAGCAAGTCTATGAACTTTAAGACATATGGAAAGCTACCTGAGATCCACATATGGTCTAAGATCGATGTTTATCTGAAATTGACGTGGCCATTCAATTTACTTAAGTGACCACAAGTGAATAGTCCGAATAGATGGTGCCTTGTTTATAATGACCGCTTTGTTGCTTTTCTCTTCACCTTCACATTTTCGGAGTCTATCTCTTCATCATCACTTTCACCTGATTGACAGTTTTCGGCCGTCTGAGAATTGCTCTACTGAAATTTATAATTAACATTAAGATTTTCAACATTGCAAGAATCAACAGGTCAGATACCCCCCCCAAATTTTCCTGACAACAAGAATTAGAGGAGACTGAAGAATTTGATTTCAACAGACTTGAATCTTCTATCTGAGATTTCCCTTCTTCACATTTAGATAAAACTGAATTTAGCTCACCTGTTTGACAATTTCAACTTTTATACAATTTTGATTCAAAGAATCAGTTATCTCATTATTATTTAAAACCAAGCTTTCACCAGAACTACTGATATTGCCATTACCAATGGTTCTAACTCCATTAGGACAGGAAAGTTCCTTATCTAGACTTGGTGGTTCACATTGACTTTGAGTCTCACCTACATCGATTGAATTCTTTGACATCTTAGTCTGCTTCTTCTTTGCTTTCAACTTCGAACACTGCAGAATTTTAGCACAATTCTCACAGTTCCAAGCATCATCAAGTGAGCCAAACAGCTTTTTACAGATACTGGAGAATCATATCATCAACCTCATCAGGATCAGAATCGCTGAATTCCCAGCCAAAAAACCAGTTTCAGCTTCATCTGACAAAGAGCGCCCAATACTGGGCCCTGCAGCAATTTCACGCTCATTAAACATATCACCAAAGCCATCAAACTCTACTTCCTCTTGCCCATGACCTGCATTTGATGAGGAGGCCTCAATTTCTCTCACGCCCTCCTCAGTACCAATACTTTCTTCTTTGCAACGAAGCAACAGAACCTCAGAATCTTGAACCAATAAGGGAAGCTCCTCTTCATCAAGGTTTCCAGAAGTTTCATGTGATTTTTTACTTGGCTCCCCCTCGAGTAAAGAAGCCTGACAACTTCCTGCTAAGGCTTAATTCAGAACCAGATCCTTGTCCTCAGAATCTTGAAAAAATGAAACATTGTTATTTTGAGAAATCAAATAATTCTAATCAGCTATGATTCCTGGTTGAAGGAGTGTACTCTCCATTCCAAGGTAAATCATCCAAGCAAAACCATCTGCCCCAGATGCATTTTCCTTCACTGTATTCTCCATTACTTGCTCATTCTGAGACTCTGCAACATCTAAGAGATTCTGTGAAGCAGAACTGCTTTCATTGGCCTCAGAGCTTGGGCCAACAGCACCTGATATTTGAATAAATGAGTCCAGGTTGAAGGTAATCCATCCAAGTAAAATCATCTGTCCCAGAGGCATTTTCCTGGAGTGTATTCTCCATACTAAGCTAATCCATCCAAGCAAAATCATCTGCCCCATATGCATTTTCCTTCACTGTATTCTCCATTACTTGCTCATTCTGACTCTCTGTGACATCTAAGAGATAATGTGAAGCAGAACTGATTTCATTGGCCTCAGTGATTGAGGCAACAGCCTGATATTGAATAAATGATTCCAGGTTGAAGGTAATCCATCCAAGTAAAATCATCTGTCCCAGAGGCATTTTCCTGGAGTGTATTCTCCATTCCATCCAAGCAAAATCATCTGTCCCAGAAGCATTTTCCTTCACTGTATTCTCCATTACTAGCTCATTCTGACTCTCAGTGACATCTGAGA